CCCCAATTTCCCCCCAATTTCCCCTCCCGGTACCAGTCCCTGGCCCGCGCTTGTCCCAGCCGCACCCCATGGTGCCCAGGCTCAGCCCCGTGCCCTTGTACTGGTACACCAGCTTGGCCAGCAGCTTGGAGGCGGCGGCCACCGACACGGGCTGCTCATCCCAGTCCAAACCAGTTCATCCCAGTTCAGACCAGTTCAGAGCAGGAACCCCGCACCCCCTTTCAGACATTTTTAACACAGTTTGAACACAGTTTTAACCCATTTTTTACCCATTTTTTACCCATTTTTTACCCATTTTTTACCCAATTTATCCCCATTTTTAACCCATTTTTAACCCATTTTTAATCCATTTTTTACCCAATTTATCCCCATTTTTAACCCATTTTTAACCCATTTTTAACCCAATTTTTTCCCATTTTTAACCCTTTTTTCCCCATTTTTTGCCATTTTTTACCCCATTTTTAACCCATTTTTAACCCTTTTTTTCCCATTTTTAACCCATTGTTAACCCATTTTTAACCCATTTTTTACCCATTTTTTCCCAATTTTTTACCCATTTTATCTCCATTTTTTCCCCTTTTTTTCACCATTTTTAACCCATTTTTTCCCCCATTTTTCCCCCAATTTTCCCCCATTTTTCCCCCATTTTTCCCCCAATTTTCTCCCCAATTTCCCCTCCCGGTACCTGGCCCGCGCTTGTCCCAGCCGCACCCCATGGTGCCCAGGCTCAGCCCCGTGCCCTTGTACTGGTACACCAGGTTGGCCAGCAGCTTGGAGGCGGCGGCCACCGACACGGGCTGCCCGTCCCAGTCCAAACCAGTTCATCCCAGTTCAGACCAGTTCAGAGCAGGAATCCCGCACCCCGTTTCAACCATTTTTAACACGTTTTGTACCCATTTTTCACCCATTTTTCCCCATTTTTTCCCCATTTTTAACCAATTTTTAACCCATTTTTAACCCATTTTTAACCCATTTTTAACCCATTTTTTACTTATTTTTAACCCATTTTTAACCCATTTTTCACCCATTTTTTCCCAATTTTTTTCCTGATTTTATCCCCATTTTTTCCCCATTTTTAACCCATTTTTTCCCAATTTTTCCCCTTTTTTTTCCCCAATTTTCCCCCAATTTTCACCCATTTCTCCCCAATTTTCACCCAATTTTCCCCCATTTTTCCCCCATTTTTCCCCCATTTTTCCCCCAATTTTCCCCCATTTTTCCCCCATTTTTCCCCCATTTTTCCCCCAATTTTCCCCGTTTTTCCCCTCCCAGTCCAAACCAGTATAAACCGGTACCTGGCCCGCGCTTGTCCCAGCCGCACCCCATGGTGCCCAGGCTCAGCCCCGTGCCCTTGTACTGGTACACCAGGTTGGCCAGCAGCTTGGAGGCGGCGGCCACCGACACGGGCTGCCCGTCCCAGTCCAAACCAGTTCATCCCAGTTCAGACCAGTTCAGAGCAGGAATCCCGCACCCCGTTTCAACCATTTTTAACACGTTTTGTACCCATTTTTCACCCATTTTTCCCCATTTTTTCCCCATTTTTAACCAATTTTTAACCCATTTTTAACCCATTTTTAACCCATTTTTAACCCATTTTTTACTTATTTTTAACCCATTTTTAACCCATTTTTCACCCATTTTTTCCCAATTTTTTTCCTGATTTTATCCCCATTTTTTCCCCATTTTTAACCCATTTTTTCCCAATTTTTCCCCTTTTTTTTCCCCAATTTTCCCCCAATTTTCACCCATTTCTCACCCAATTTTTTTTTTCCCCATTTTTAACCCATTTTTTCCCAATTTTTCCCCTTTTTTTTCCCCAATTTTCCCCCAATTTTCACCCATTTCTCACCCAATTTTCACCCAATTTTCCCCCATTTTTCCCCCAATTTTCCCCCATTTTTCCCCCAATTTTCCCCCAATTTTCCCCCATTTTTCCCCCATTTTTCCCCCAATTTTCCCCGTTTTTCCCCTCCCAGTATAAACCAGTCCCTCCCGGTACCTGGCCCGCGCTTGTCCCAGCCGCACACCATGGTGCCCAGGCTCAGCCCCGTGCCCTTGTACTGGTAGACCAGGTTGGCCAGCAGCTTGGAGGCGGCGGCCACCGACACGGGCTGCTCATCCCAGTCCAAACCAGTTCATCCCAGTTCAGACCAGTTCAGAGCAGGAACCCCGCACCCCCTTTCAAACATTTTTAACACATTTTGTACCCATTTTTCACCCATTTTTTACCCATTTTTAACCCTTTTTTCCCCATTTTTTACCCATTTTTAACCCATTTTTAACCCAATTTATCCCCATTTTTTCCCCATTTTTAACCCATTTTTAACCTATTTTTAACTTGTTTTTTCCCCAATTTTTTCCCATTTTTAAACCTTTTTTTCCCATTTTTAACCCTTTTTTTCCCATTTTTCACCCATTTTTAACCCATTTTTTCCCCATTTTTAACCCATTTTTTACCCATTTTTTCCCCATTTTTAACCCATTTTTTCCCAATTTTTTCCCCAATTTACCCCTATTTTTTTTTTCCCCATTTTTAACCCATTTTTTACCCATTTTTTCCCCATTTTTAACCCATTTTTTCCCAATTTTTTCCCCAATTTACCCCTATTTTTAACCCTTTTTTTCCCCATTTTTAACCCATTTTTAACCCATTTTTCCCCCAATTTTCCCCCAATTTTCCCCCAATTTTCCCCAATTTTCCCCCAATTTTCCCCATTTTTAACCCAGTTTTAACCCTTTTTTTCCCCATTTTTAACCCTTTTTTTCCCATTTTTTCCCATTTTTTACCCATTTTTAACCCATTTTTTACTTATTTTTAACCCATTTTTTACCCATTTTTCACCCATTTTTTCCCAATTTTTTCCTTATTTTATCCCCATTTTTTCCCCATTTTTTCCCAATTTTAACCCATTTTTAACCCATTTTTAACCCATTTTTTCCCCATTTTTAACCCATTTTTAACCCCTTTTTAACCCTTTTTTCCCCATTTTTAACCCATTTTTTACCCATTTTTTCCCCATTTTTAACCCATTTTTTCCCAATTTTTTCCTTATTTTATCCCCATTTTTTCCCCATTTTTAACCCATTTTTAACCCATTTTTTCCCAATTTTTTCCCCATTTTTCCCCCATTTTTCCCCCAATTTCCCCCCAATTTTCCCCCAATTTTCCCCCATTTTTCCCCCAATTTCCCCCCAATTTCCCCCCAATTTTCCCCATTTCCCCCCAGTTTCCCCTCCCGGTACCTGGTCCGCGCTTGTCCCAGCCGCACACCATGGTGCCCAGGCTCAGCCCCGTGCCCTTGTACTGGTAGACCAGGTTGGCCAGCAGCTTGGAGGCGGCGGCCACCGACACGGGCTGCTCATCCCAGTCCAAACCAGTTCATCCCAGTTCAGACCAGTTCAGAGCAGGAACCCCGCACCCCCTTTCAAACATTTTTAACACATTTTGTACCCATTTTTCACCCATTTTTTACCCATTTTTAACCCTTTTTTCCCCATTTTTTACCCATTTTTAACCCATTTTTAACCCAATTTATCCCCATTTTTTCCCCATTTTTAACCCATTTTTAACCTATTTTTAACTTGTTTTTTCCCCAATTTTTTCCCATTTTTAAACCTTTTTTTCCCATTTTTAACCCTTTTTTTCCCATTTTTCACCCATTTTTAACCCATTTTTTCCCCATTTTTAACCCATTTTTTACCCATTTTTTCCCCATTTTTAACCCATTTTTTCCCAATTTTTTCCCCAATTTACCCCTATTTTTTTTTTCCCCATTTTTAACCCATTTTTTACCCATTTTTTCCCCATTTTTAACCCATTTTTTCCCAATTTTTTCCCCAATTTACCCCTATTTTTAACCCTTTTTTTCCCCATTTTTAACCCATTTTTAACCCATTTTTCCCCCAATTTTCCCCCAATTTTCCCCCAATTTTCCCCAATTTTCCCCCAATTTTCCCCATTTTTAACCCAGTTTTAACCCTTTTTTTCCCCATTTTTAACCCTTTTTTTCCCATTTTTTCCCATTTTTTACCCATTTTTAACCCATTTTTTACTTATTTTTAACCCATTTTTTACCCATTTTTCACCCATTTTTTCCCAATTTTTTCCTTATTTTATCCCCATTTTTTCCCCATTTTTTCCCAATTTTAACCCATTTTTAACCCATTTTTAACCCATTTTTTCCCCATTTTTAACCCATTTTTAACCCCTTTTTAACCCTTTTTTCCCCATTTTTAACCCATTTTTTACCCATTTTTTCCCCATTTTTAACCCATTTTTTCCCAATTTTTTCCCCAATTTACCCCTATTTTTAACC